TTATCATCCTGACTATGTCCCCTGCAAACTTCAAGCTCCAGTATAAGATGCAAAGATGACAGTTTCACAGGTTATGTAATCTCTTCCCACAACTGCATAAGATCAAATCCCCGTAATCAATGGCTTATTAAATATATTTTCCTACTGATTCTGAGGCAGGATAGTAAGAAGCTAGGAAAGTTCCTTGGCAAGTAGAATGGGGAAACAGACCAACAGCTGATTCCAATTGGCCTTTTCCAGCACCCTGACTCACCTGCTTCCTCCTCCCTTGCAGACCACTCCCTTAAGTATTAAGCCCTCAAGACAATGAGGTTCTGATCAGCAACAAATAATTTCAGAATAGCCTCAGGTCTGTTGACCACAGAGACAGAGTTTTGGTCAAACTAGAGAAAACAAGCAGGCCTCAGCTGTGTGTACGAAAAAGGGCCAGGTACTAAATGTGACAAGCTCAGGGGAGGCCTGTGTGACAGCCTTACAAACTCAAAGGACTAAAGCAACAGCACGGGATGGTCAGAAAATAAAACTTTTTACCTAAAAGTAGTTTATGGCAGGTAGTCTTGCCCTAGGCTAGAATCTCTCCTGACAATAGTCAATCTTTACCTTAAGCGAGCCTATTGTCTTTTTGCATCTATGATAACATACCTTTGGAATGTCAAGGTAACTTCCCTTTTCCAGATTGCTCAGGGAACCACAACCACGGGAGAGCAGAGACCACAAACCCTCATTGCAATCGTTACCATGTTAATTATTGTTAACTGTCCTGTACCCACCTGTGTAAAAGAAGTATTTGTCTCTCATTACTTTTTATCCAACCCCAGATGTTTCCCTGCTCTGCTTTCTCCTGTCTCCCTAATCTATCACCAATGGATTTCATGTGATCCACTTACGTTGCCTCTTTTGATTGTAATGTATAAAATAAGGTGCAAAGCTGCCATTTTCTCAAATCACTGAGGTTTTGCTTCCCAGAAATTGTTGTCAGTTTGGCTCAAATAAACTCATAAAGATTCTCTACAGGTTTGAATGTCTCTTACATTGACAGTTACGTTTCAGCTCCAGGCCCAGAAAAGCTGCAAAACCAGGGAAGTGGCACCATGGCTGACATCAGGGCCAGATGCACTGACTAATGACCCCCTGCCCTAGTGCCAACCAATCAGTAGAGATCACGACCCTGACCCTACATGCTCATTTTGATGAATCAACCTATTAAAGGCCACATCTGGAAAGCTGATGAATATTGTATTATACACTCCTCTAAGACCTCCCCTAAAATTCCTGCATTCAGAAAACAGATAAAGGCCCATTAAGATGAAGGACCCAGCCCACGGGCACACCGCTCTCTGCTCTCTCAGTCTCTCGCTCTCCTCCCCCACCCCGTCCCCCATCCCCTTGGAGCATACCTGTGCATATTTTTGCTTTTCTTTTCCCTAAGCTTCAAAGGTTCCCAGGAGACTTGCAACCAGGGGAGCGCTTTGTCCTAGACTAGCCCTCGAACCTGTCTCCAAGGGCCCTTCTTCTGCCTCTGTAACCTTCCTTCCTGGCTCCACACAGCCACAGCTTAGCCGGCTCACTTCTGCCTCTGTGACCTTCCTTCCAAAGGGCCAAGGCAGCTCTGCCTAGGCTTACTCCTGTTGCTATGATCTTGCCTCTCGTATCTTAAACCCTTCCTTTGTATTACTGTCCCCACCTTTAGTAAGTGTACTCTCAACATCACCAAGACTTGTATTGTGAAATCATCCCTGCATGAAGTCAAGATCGAAAGCCAACATTGCTGCTAGTAGTTCTATTTCTCTGATTGAACCCTGACTGGTTCAGGTGCTTATTATGTGCCAGACGCTGATAGAAGCTAATTGCTTATGATTCATTTAATTTACACAATGATCCTATGAGGTAGCTATTGCCAGGCACTGAGAGGATAAGAAACTTGTCCAAGATTATGCAGCTGCTAAGTGGCTAATAAGATAACCATGTTATATTATTAGGTGATAAATGCAAATTCCAAAGTAATATATTTAAAATGACTCAACTTTTGTTAACAAAACAAGAATAAAAATATATGCATATGCATAGAGAAAAATCAGAAATATGTAGCTGAAGGCTAGAATTCTGAAGAACTTATGCTTTTTATTTGTTATATTTGAAACTTCAAGAGCTCAGACTGGTGTGGCTCTGTTGCCTGGCATTCCCACAAAGCATAGGTTGCCAGTTCAATCCCCTGTCAGGATACATGCTTGGGTTGTGGGTTTGGTCCTTGGTCAGGGCACATAAGAGAGGCAAATGATAGATGTTTCTCTCTCACATCGATGACTCCCTCTCATTTCCCCTCCCTTCTCCTCTCTCTAAAAAGAAATAAATATACAAACTCTTTTTGAAAAAAAAGTCATAATGAATAGTTAAAATTACAATTTTGCAAGCCAGAATTTATCTCAAGGAAATAATAAAAGATATGCACAAAAATTTGGCTATGGGGATATATATTATGTCATGTTTGCTATAGTAAGAAGCTGGGGGAAAAAATGTGAATGTCCAACAGTAAAGAACTGATTAAATAAATTATGGTATATTATAATAATCTAAAAGATTTAATAGCAAGTAAACAGATCATAACATTTTAAGTGAAAAAGGAGTTTACAATCTAAATATCTAAATTGGGGTTACTTTTGTCTAGGTTACAAAACCATGTATACTAATGGTCCCCTTTTTGTGGAAAAGAATTTTCCTACGTGTTGCATTTCCCTCTGCTTTAAGTATTACTTCTATGTGTATCTTGTCAGCCAATCTTCACTAAAAAATGTATAGAACTGGTATTACTACTCCCACTTCAGAGAGAAGAAACCAAGCTTCAAGAAAGTTAAATATTCCTTTTCCTTGTTCAATTCTTTAATTACATCTTTTGTTTTTTACAAAACTTCACAGTTTCCTTACACTGGATTCTTCTTAATCCTAATTGCTGAAGTTCTTGGGGGTTATAATTCTGGTGTTCCTACTTTCTGCTGACTTTCTTTCGTGGTAGCCAGTCTCCTTGTGTTAGCTGGTGATTTTTGATTGCCAGTGTATACAGTGGTGCCTTGATACTCATTAACTCGCTCCCATGAGTGGCAAGCAAGTGACAACTGATGAAGTATTTTCTCTTGCCCTGCGGTGTCATAACTCATACAAGTTCTAGCAAGAGCAATGAGTGGCAAGCAACTGCAGAGTGCTGAAACTTTTTTTTCTCATCAAAATACAACAAGTACCAGGTTTGGCAAGTTCTGAAGCCAAGGAGTGCCGAGGTACCACTGTGTTTGATTAAGCTTAACATATGGGAATCCTTAATATCTAAACTGAGGTTGCTTTCCTCCAGAGATAATTTGGGGACTGCCTACTGGGGAATACTTAAGTTCCTTCAAGATTTGCAGCTAAGTACTAGAGTCTATAGTACTTCAGCTATCCTACCTTGTGGCAAACTTCCTTAGCTTTGTCTCCAGAACCCATGGGTTGATGCTGATGTAGACATTGTTATTTGCCTCTTGACTTGACTTGGGAGTTTGTTTACCATTCATCATTTTTGTTTACCTCATTGTGAGCAATGCTTTAAAAGGTATATTTATTTATTTATCCCGCCCCCACATATTTAGCTTTTTATTATTTTACATAGTAGCTCTAACAGTAACAAGGTGGAGTCCTAAATCAGTAATGTGTAAAGAGATCCCATTTTCTTCCTTCCCTTTCCTTCCTCTTTCTCTTTCTTTCTTTTATCCATTCATCCACTGATGGACACTTAAATTGTTTCCATATCTTGTCTATTGTGAATAATGTGGCAATAAACATGGGAGTGCGGATATCTTTTTGATAAGGCTAACTATGTCCTGTCAGAGAAACAGAAATTCTGAAAATGATTACAACCATGTAGTCCGTGGTTGTTTTCTCTTTACTGGATTAGCAATTTATCTCCAAACTTTTTTAAAAAATCCTGTTTATTCTATTACAGTTGTCTCAATTTTTCCCCCTTTGCCCTCCTCCACCCATCCCTCTGCCCTGCTCCCACTCCCACAGTCAATTCCCACACTGTTGTCCACATCCATGGGTCATTCATGCATGTTCTTTGTTTAGTCCCTTCTCCTTCTTTCCACCATTGTCCTCGTTCCCTATCCCCTTTGGTTACTTAAAAGGTATGTTTATTGTAGTTCATTCAGGATCGACTTGTGCAATAACAGGAGGATTGCTTGCCATCCTGCCAGAAATGACAGTGAGACAACTATTTTTCTGCTATACCTCACTGAGTGAATTCATTATTCATTTGTACGTTCATTGATTCACTCACTCAAACGTTCTTTCATTCACTAAATATTGACTGTGTACCTACTGAGTGTCAAGCCCTGTGCTAGAGCTTTTAACTGGAGCTGAAAGTAAGTTTCTGGCTTCATAGCATATGTGGGTGTCTGTATATCTTTTCAATGGCTAAAACCATAATTTTCTCTAAAAATATGTCACTCTGAGTGCCATAGAAGTAAGAAGCATCAGTTACTGGAGTTTAGTGCATCTGAGAAGGTAATTTAAATGAGATCCCAATAATAATCCTAATAATTTTAGAAAAAATATGATAGCTCTTATCTGGTAGCACCTTGTTGATGATTAAGATGCCTGTAAAGTGGTTGGAATTTCGTTGAAGAAAATCTGCTGATCAATACAAAACACCAACTTCATTCTACTCTGCATTTTATGCCAATCACATTAGAGTTAGAAAAGCAAAGCCCAGAGTATACTATTCCCTAAGCCATCTAGTCTTTCCAGAAAATTGACGGGCGTACCGTGTGTCCCAGAACAACAAGAAATAATCCCTGCCCTAAGACTCCCACATTCTAGTGTGAAAGGCAAACAAGAAAATAAATAATTAGCAGAGAGCATGATAAGTCAGATGCATAAGAAGTGTGTGAGTTTACTCCAGTGGGTGCAGAGGGGACCACCGGTGAATTGGGGTGCGTGAACTCAGCTGAGGAAACTGACCTCTGTGCTCCACTTACCTCTTCTGCTGTTCTTCCTGATATTGTTGCTTTATTTTATCTTTATTTTCTATGGCTTCTTTTATCCTTTCCTCTAGTTGCTTCTTTTCCAAAATACACACATCTGTGAGACAGACTTTTTGAGCATGTTCTAATTTCTGCTGCAGATCCGAAATCTTGAATAAAAGAAGTTTGTAAATAAAACTTTAAGGTTTTAGGTTCCATGGTGGACCTATCTTTTTAAATTATGTTTTATTGATAATGCTACTACAGTTGTCCCAATTTTTCCCCACTTTGACCTATTTTTCAATTAGGAAAATACCATATAAATAGCAAACACAGTAACGCTGCCATACAAATCTGATCTAAAGTAAAGTGTGTAGCTAGATTTATTTTAATTTTAAAAACAAATTATTTAGCTTTTGCAATATGTAATACCTTTACACAGCTGTGTGTAAACAGAGCTGTATAGTGAAAAGTCCCCCTTCTGCCCCAACCTGTCTTCTTCCACCAAAGAGGTGAGCACTGATATTAGTTGCTTGTATACCCTTTCCGAGGTTTATTTATACATGTTTAAACAAATATTAAATAGTCTTCCCCCGCCCCCGCCACAGATACTTCTTACACAAATGATGGCATATTATTATGTGCCTGGCTTTTTAAAATAAAAATACACTCAGTGAGGCAGGGGAGAGTAATGGGGGAAAAATGGGGACAACTCTAATTGAACAACAATAAAAAATTTTAAAAATACACTCAGTGAGTTTTCCATATTATAAGTATATACACAGTTGTCTTTCACAGCCATATGTCATTCCACTGTAAGAATATACCATAACTTTTTAAACTAACCTCCTACTGATGAACATTTAGGTAAATTCCAATATTTTGCTACTATAAACAATGTCTCTAGAACAACTTACGAGGTGTGTGGATTTGCCAGGGCAAATGTTATTATTTGTTTGTTTGGTTGGAAAGGCCAAACTGTCTCCATAGGTATTAGGCCAATTCACACTTCTGCCAGCAGTGTGTGAGGAGCACCTGGCTTCCCCACCGTGTGAATACACTCATGAACATCAAAGTCAAGGTCTCTTACAAACCAAGGCCCAATTAGCGTATTGCTTAGCACCAGTAATAGGTTCTTTAACACCCTGGTGACACCAAAAATAAGATTTATGAATTTGACAGAAGGACACATAATTTTATTTTAGAATTTAGGAAAATTTGTACCTGTCACAAATTTAGATTAAAAGTGTCATTAAAATTTTTTGTTAGAGAAATAGCCATTTAAATTGTTTACTTATTTTTTATAAGCGTTTCGCTGTCTAAATTTGTGACTGGTGCATAATTAATGTTCAATAAATATTTGTTGAATGACTAGATTCCAGCAGAAGAGCTGTTCTCCCTCCGTTGTATTTATCGACACCACATTCTCCACGTCTCACGAAAGCCAGGAGGAGAGGCGAAGATGCGGAGAGATTCAGGGCCATGGCCGAGGCCAGGCCCAGTTCCTCTGAGTTGCCCCACTGAGCTCTGCTTAGGGGAAATGCTTGCTTAAAGATATTCCGTCTTTAAGTAAGTATCGCAGATGAAAGTATCACCCCATTGGCTTCTCTGTCAAGGACATATGCCAAACTTTCGAACCCGTCACCCAATTTAAGAAAGAGAACATTTCCAAGATTTGTGAAGTCCACTCTGTGACCCTTGCCAATTATACCCCTTTCCCTGTTCCACCTGAGAAAGTTAGTATCTTGAATTTTGTGTTAATCATTTCTTTGCTTTTTCTTTTAACAGTACATATCTCTATATGACATAGTTTTCATTTGGTACTATTTTGACCTTTGTATCAGTGGAATCATATTGTGTTTTTGGTGACCTGGTTTTTATTCAATATTATATTGAACTACAGCATGTAGCTGTAATTCATTCATTTTTACTGTTGTATGTATGCTGTTGTGTAAATACACAATTTATTTGTTCAATCTCATGTCAATGGGCATCTGGGTTCTTTCCAATTTTCTGCTTTTTAAAACAACGTTACCATGAAAATGACTGAATTCCTGCCTCCTGATACTTATTATTCGCAGTATAATTGTTTCCCTAGTGTTTATGCCTAGTAGTAGAAGTGTTGGGTTATATAGCATATACATCTGTAACTCCACTAGAAGCAATGCCAAACTGCTTTCCAAAGTGTTTATACCGATTTATTCTTCCAACTGCAGTCAGTATATGAGTTCCTGTTGCCTAAAATCCTCACCGATATTTAGTACTGTCTAAATTTTAAAATTTTGCTCATCTTTATCAATTACTTTTTAATGGAGTAATACATACATGCAGTAAAGTGTACATATCTTAAGCATACTCAGTAAAATTTTACTTACATAACCACGTCCCAGACCCAGATATAGAACTACTTCTAACAACACAGAAGATTCCCTCACTCCCCTCCCAGTTAACAGCCCTCATAGAGACAGCCATTATCTGACACCAGAGCTTAGTTTCGTCTATTCTTAAACTTCATATAAATGATATTACACAGTATGAACTCTTTTGTGCTGGTTTCTTTAGCCCAACATTAGGCATTTGGATTTAATTCCAATTGCTGTCATCTACTTCTTGATGTTAGTTTTATGTATATATAGTTTGTGAAAGTGACTTATTTTTTATATAAAATTTGACTCAGACAAACCTACAGGTCAAAATGTGCAACCGTTACATACTACTGCCACCTGGTGTTAGACAATCTAAAATGCAGGGGCAATATTTCAAAACGGATCATTTCACAACACATATTCTTCCGAAAATTACAAAATAAAAATCATGTAAACGCCAACCCACATGAGAGGAGAATAAACCTTTTAAAATTTGAATGTATAAAAAAAGTCATTTGATCTCAGTACTTTAACTTACTGCTTTAATGAAATACCTTTATAAGTTCATGTGGTTTAAAAAAAAAAAACCAAGAGCTACTGGAACTGTAGGAGCAGGTGAAGTCAAAGGGAGGAAAGCCTGGGAGAGTAAAGAAAAACCCTAGAAGTCTATCAAGTTTGCACCATATATTTGTCTTAAAATCCTTTGGGAAAGAGGATTTTTTCGGTAGTGGTATTCAGCGCGTTACTGACTAAGGGTGAGGATAATTACCTTTTCCTCTGCATCAGCAACTTTGGATTTCTCCTGAGCCAGCTTTTCCTGCAGGCTGTTCTGTGATTTAATGCTCTGAGCCTGTGTAAGTACTTCCAGCTCCAGTTCCTTGATTTTCTGCTGACAGTGCTTCCACTCTGCTGAGGGGGAAGAGCACCTCCTAGCACTGTCTAATAACTTCTGCTGGGCTTGCTGTAGTTCAATTTTGATCTACAGGTGGGGAATAAATAAGAGTGATGGCAATGAGCAGGGAGTGAACGTCAACGTGAGCCAGAAGCAGCAGCTTTCAAAGGAATGCCGTCCCCCCAGAGCTGATAAGCACCAATGTCATGTGGTTGATTACCTCTCTGGAGCTGCCATGTGTTAGGAAGGTTTGCCAAGGTCTATCTCACCAGATGGCAGCTGGACAAAGGGATTTTCCTGAGTTTCTATACATGTGTGGACTGAACGTTTTCCATCCTTTTTTTCCTATCACTTCAAGCTGGCTTTTGTTCCCACTGCTCCGTGAAGCTGCCAAGGGCATTATTGTCAAAGCACATCCCGTGGACGGTTGACCTCTTGGGGTCACTCCCCCTGCTCACAAAGTTCTCCTCGTCTCTTGGAGTTTCTGATGCCAAACTCCCCTGATTTTCACTTGCCTCTCTTCTGTGCCTTCTTGGTCTCTTCTGCAGACTGTCCTAATGCTGCCCAACTTTTAAATGCTATGGGATTAAACTAGGCCTTGAGAGTCGTTTGTTCTCCCTTTTGGTTCATTCCCATGATTTAAAACACCATCTTTATGCCAAGTAACAGCCCAAGTGAAACTCCTTGATTCTGCCCATCTCTCCAAAACTGTTTTCCTCTCAGTCTCCCTGATTATAGCAAATGATGCCACCATCTCACCTCCAGTTCAGGCCAGTAACCTGAGAGCTGTCCTTGAGTTTTCCTTTTCCATCATGAGCCCGTTCAGCGCGAGCTGTCACTCAGCCTCCACACAGATCTTGCCTCAATCCATTCGTGCCGTCTGTGTCACCCTCCTGGTCTAGATCATCATCGTCTCCAGCCCTGGCCCCAGCAACAGCTTTGACACGGGTCTTGCCATTTCCATTTTTACTCCCTTCTAATCTGTTCTCTGCACAGCAGCCAAAGTGTTCTTTTTAAAACGTAAATTTGAACTACTTGACTCCCTTCCTTAACTGTTTCATGGCTTCCCATCACTCCGGGGACAGATGTCAGCAGCTTGCCTGGCCTTGTATGATCTGGCCCTTGCTGACCTCTTTAAAACCATCTTGTCATTCCCCCTTCTCCCGCTGATCTCCTGTCATGCCCGTTTCTATTTAGAGTTTCCAACACAGCAGACTCCACCCTTTACTCTGCTAGGAATGCTTTCTCTTTCCCCTCCTCATGGTACGGTTGGTTCCTGTCTATTCTTCAGGTCTTAGCTTAAACGCCACTTGGTAAGAGAAAAATTTCATGATCATTGAACCTGAAGAGGTCTTCTGACTCCTTACTTATTACACCACATTTATTTCCTTCATAGAACTTATCACAATCTAAATTAAACATGTTTATCTACTTGTTTACATCCTCCTTCCCCACTCTAAATTCCCAGCAGGGACCATGTGTTTTATTCATTTCTCAGTATCCAAGGCCTGTCAAAGTGCCGAAAGTAGATAATTAACATGTACTGAACAAATAAATGAACGAAAGACATTCTAAGGAATATTAGAACATGATAAATGGACATACTATGAAGGACTCACAGACAAAAATGCTGAGATAGAATTTAGGTTGTGCATAGCAGAATTTCCTGGGCTCAATGATTTTCAGCTGAATTAATAGGCATTATAACTATAATTTCCTCCACGTGTGATTACTGTGGATTAACCATCCTGAGTTTATCAAGTGAATCTAAACGTCAATAATGTTCAACCTCTCTGAGCATCAGTTTCTTCATCTGTAATGTGGGGACTACTGCTTACCTGATAAAATAGTTGGGAAGCTACATTAAATAAAACAAAGCAAGGAAAGTATCAAGGCTACGGCCAAATAGGTGACAGCGGATGCAAGTTAACTGCTGTTCTTCAAGAATCACATGTAGATTATCTACTGTATTTGACACAGAACTGAGGCAGATGCTACTGTAGGTATTATGTATTGGTTAGGCTTTCCTATCTGTGAAGCAGCTGAGATTGAGATTGGTATTTTACCCCATTTAGAGACGAAAAAGCTGCATCTCAAAAATATTTGGCAAATAATAGAACCACGGTGTGATGCCCTCGTGTCAGAAAGAAGAACAACTTTGCCCTCCTATGCATTAGACCATGCTGCAGTTATTTGTTTCAACCAGTAATAACAGATACATCTATCAGGGATAAATAAGTCAAAGAGATAGAATGAGGGCAGAACAACCAGGGTGTGGGGCTCAGGTCACTGAAATTTACTTAGTGCTAAAATTTTAGGTAAAAATTTCAAAAGATTGTGTAATTTTAAAACTTTTCATATTTACAGGCTGACAACATACATGTCCCTTTAGCAGCAGTGAAACAATTGAGCTGTCGACCTAACTGATAAGGAAAAGTTAAAGGAATAAGATAACCAGAGAGCTCACATTGTCCACCCATCTGTGGACACTGTCATGAATTATAAAGTTGAGAAATTTTTAAAATCTTTTCCTGAGGTTATGTTTATTGATTTGAGAGAGAGAGAAACAGAGAGAGAGGGAGACAGAGAGAGAGAAACATCAATGTGAGAGACAAACATCAATCGGCTGCCTCCCCTACATGCCCCGACTCGGGGGATTGAACCTGCAACCTAGGTATGTGCCCTGACCAGGAATCGAATCTGCAGCCTTTGGGTGTATGAGACGATGCTCTGCCAGGGCTAAGGCTAGAACTTTCGATTCATTTTTCCCCAGGGCCAATTGAGTGATTGAGACTTGTCAATACAGGATGTGTCCACCAGACCTACCTTAATGCTTTCTTCCTGAAGTAAGCTGTTATGTTGCTTTAAGTCCACGTTCTTTCCCCGCTCATATCGAAGCTCTTTTTCAGCTGAGTTGCATAGAGTCTGGAGCCGGTGCAAATTCTGGCGAAGTTGTTGTACTTCCTCTTGGTGCTGGTATTTCAGTTTTTCTTCAGATGACGGATTCTAGGACCAACATTTTAAAAGAGAAATGTGGACAATTTGAAAGAGTATTGGTAAGACATGGGTTCCAGCTGTCAGAACCAGAATTATCAGCATATGATTTTTCACGTTTTTGGAGTTGGCTTATCTACAACAAACTGCTCTTTTATATTTATATTCATATAATTTAACTCCCATTATATTAGAGTAAAAATATCAAAGGAATTATGTAAACAATAGCAGTTAATATAGACAATTAACTTTCTTATTTTTCATATCAGTGAAGGGGAACAGAGCACGGACAATTTTAGGGTAAAAATCAGGCCTCTCCAGAGCAATAAAACTCCATGACCAGAAGAGAAGCCATTAGGGTTTTCTCACAGGTAGGCACACACAAGTGTGCTGAGTGGATAAAGAATTCAAGCTTATCCCACTCACTAGATAAGATATACTACATATCTCCTCAGGCAAGGGAAACAAAAGAAAAAAATAAACAAATGGAACTACATCAAACTAAAAAGCTTTTGTATAGCAAAGGAAACCATCGACAAAATGAAAATACAACCTACTGAATAGGAGAACATATTTGTCAATGATACATATGATAAGAGGTTAGTACCCAAAATTTATAAAGAACTCATACAACTTAACACCAAAAAAACAAACCAATTAAAAACTGGGCAAAGGACCTGAATAGACACTTCTCCAAGAGGACATACAGACATATGAAAAGATGCTCAATGTCACCGATCATCAGAGAAATGCAAATTAAGCCACAATAAGATACCATATCACACCTGTCAGAATGGCTATCATCAATAAATCTAGAAACAAATGTTGGCGAAGACGTGGAGAACAGGGAATCCTCGTGCACTGTTGGTGGGAATGCAAATTGATGCAGCCACTGTGGAAAACAGTACGGAGGGTCCTCAAATAATTAAAAATGGAACTGTTTATAACCTGGTAATTCCACTTCTGGATATATATATGTAACCTCTCTAAAGCCTCAGTTTCCTCATCTATAAAATGGAAACAATAATAGTCCCACCTCATTGTATTCCTTAACGTACAAGTCATATACAGGTTGTTTAGTGTAGTGCTTAGAACATAGTAAATATTCAATAATGTTATTTTAAAAACCATGAAGCTAGGTTTTAAACCTACAAAACTGAGATGTTCATTGTGGTTCCAACTTGCTTCAAGAATATTGGGAAAGTAATAGCTAGAATTCAACTATCACAACCTTACCTGGAACAATGCTGAACAGCAGAAACTAAGCCCCCAAAGGCCATCAGCAGCCACAAATACATATGTAAAATAGAGCTCACATACTTATAAAAGAGGCTCTCACGGTTCTTTTTCTATGTATTTATAATATGTAAGCATTCTTTAAAGTTGGGTATCTGGTCTCATCTTATAGTTGCTTAAATTTGCACATTATGGGATTAAGAAGACACACCACACATGGATAGCCGCTAGATACTAGACACCGTAATCTGACAATGGGGGTGCAGACCACAAAACTACACACACACACAAGGATTAAAAGAACAACCTATAGTCATCGGTAGGTCAAAGAAACAGAAGAGGTTCTGAAATTATCGCTCTACAGCTCACTGCAAGAAAAAAAAAATCTGTCTAAAATGTATTTTCTTCCTTGTCTGCTTAAAGAAGTAAATGAAACAGTGTGCACCACACTGCTTTGGAAATGTAGAGTTCAAAATACAAATATTTTCTTTCTTTCCCAAGAGGCCCACACCCATCTTGTTTATTGCTGTGTGTACCTTACATACCACATAGAAACTGCCACATCATAAAAACTCTATTAATAGTTGAGTCAATAAGAGCCACTTAAACTTCTTTCAAACAAGTCAAAGTCATTATTATGGAAGATAATTACTGAAATAAGCAAGAATTCAGTGAAACCTTAAGCAGCTGTGTGGTATATAGGAATATTTTCCCTTTTACAAAGTGGCTATTTTCCAATATTTCTCATAGAATTTTTGTATGTATGTGTGTGTGTATATATATACACTATATATATATATATATATACACTATATATATATAGTCAATGAAAGTATCAAGACTTGCATCAGCTGTCACCTATTTGGCTGTATCTATTCTTGATACTTTCATTGCTTTGTTTTATGTAATGTAGCTTCCCAACTATTTTATCAGATAAGCAGTTGTCCCCATAGCACAGATGAAGAAACTGATGCTCAGGGAGGTTGAACATTATTGACTCTAAATCCCATTATTCTAAAAGTATGCTGGTCACTTTGAGCTCATAAGCAAAGGCTTTATAATCTTTGTGACCACGGTATTTATCCTCTGCCCAGGCTTCCTGCAGTGGAAACTGTCCAATACAGGGGCTGCCTGGGAGATGTCCAATTAACCTCTTTGTGACTATTTGAGGTCATACTTCCTTTTGGTCTCCTAAACAAATTCAGGAACTCCTTTCTCTTTCAAATGTATGTGACTCTCCTTTCAAGTATATACAGGGCTAGGCAAAAGCAGGTTTACAGCTGTGAGTACGTGAAACACAGAGCTAATAAAGCTATTGTAGTAAGCATAGCCCATGTGACTTTTCCATCAAACAACTGTACGCCTCTTTTTGCCCACCCCCACATTTTCCTTGTTTAGTGTGATCTGCCTGGTTTTCAAACGCTATATCTGAATTTCTTTTCAAATATATTTTTGACTTCCTTTATTGCTACTCTTCCTTTTTTTCTAAATGTATAGGTGAACCACTTTTCAAATGTATATTATCAGTCTTTTGAATTTGGTTTACTTACAAGTACAACGGCCTCCCTTTGTGGATCTCAAAATAGTTGCCAAAAAGGCATGTGTAGGGAAATCTTATTTTGTGCAAGAAGGAACCTGTAAAACTGAGGCATAAGAACTGAAGTGTGGCTGTGAAGTGAAGTCACTCCCTTCATTTTTCCTGGAGGCAGATCTCTGGTAAATAGCAAAAGCCATATTTAAAACAATTCCATATCTGTGGTCTTTTCCCTCCAAAACAAAGTATTTTGTATATCAAAACTAGGTACCTGGAGTAGAAAACATGGCACAGATCCATCCTCCCACTCCCTATCCTACCATCCAGGGCAGACAGCAACAATTAATCAGCATTTCCTTGCTGTTGAGCCTCAATATAGCCTAAGAACGCTTTACAATAAAATCATCTGATGGGCTCAGTTCAAATTTTGGTTGCTATTTTATATCATTCAGACTGTGGCTATGATATTGTTCAACAAATACATATTTAATGATGATATAAAAATTATGTTTGTAGCCACAGCTGATTGGAGGAAGTGGCCCCAGTCAGAGCATGTGTTTACGGCACCTACCTCAGTGCTCCCAGAGCTCTGAGACTGAAGGAGGCTCTGATTTATGTGGCTCAGTTCTCCTCTAAGCCTCACAGCTTTCTTAGGCTTCAAGGTCAATTGCTGTTCTTCACTTCCCATATCTCGGTTCTGTTGCAAGTCTTCCTCTTTCTGCCTCTCTCTTGGAAAAGTGCCCTCCTCTACTGACTCCTCTGGAATTTCCTTCTGCTCATTCTCTCCTAGTTCCGGACTTGGTGCAAATATAACAATAAAAAACTATCAAAATGCTCATTCTACTAGCAGAATATGGAAGAAAAAAAAATCTACCAGTGAAGAAAGTACTGCAAGCAAGATTTTCAGCTTGAATTCTATAGCACATCAGTTATCTTATTCTTATAATGTAATCTTAAAAACAAATAAGTGAAGGGACTAAAGCAAAAACAAAAACAACACTCATGGACACAGAAAACAGTATGGTGATTACCAGAGGCAAAGCGGACGGGGAGAGGTAGAAGCGGGTAACGGGGGAATAAATGGTAATGGGAGGAGACTTGACTTGGGGTGGTGAACACACACTACAATATACAGATGATGTATCAGAGAATTGTACACCTGAAACCTATATAATTTTATTAACCAATGTCACCCCAGTAAATTTGATTTTAAAAAATTAGTCTTTTTTTTTTTTTTTTTTTTACTCACACTCAGGGAAATGACCTATCAGAAACTTTTGTCTACCTGCAAACAAGCAGTTTAAGTGAGTTTTCCACTTTTAGTATGGCATTGGGCAAAGACAGGGTTTATAAAGGTTAAAAAAAAATCACTCAAGAGGCACTAGGCACTTTGCCAGGCTCTAGGGCTACAACAGAATATAATCCCTGTCCCAAGAAGTTTACAATTTAGTGAGAAATACTAGTAAGGAAACAATTGATTAGATTAAATAACTAAGTAATCTAAGGATAAGTAGGCAAAAGCTAGGCAAATGTAAAGGAAGGGGTGTGTACATACTTGTGTGTGTGTATGTATGTATGATATATTAGGGAGGGGGATGTTGATATAGATGAGAACAGGGAAAAATAAGGTATTCCAGGAAGACTTTAATAAATAAGATGGGTAAAAGCCCAGAGGCAAAAGAGAGAAAGATCATTTAGATGCCTTATGGAAGAGGATCAGTTGAGAGGCTCTTGTAATTACCCATGTAATAAGCAACAGTGACTAGAATAGGATGGTGAACTTTAAGGAAGAAATGGATTCTAGAGATATTTAGAACATAGTATTGGTAAGATTTATCATTGACTGGCTGTGGCAGGTGATGGAGAAGAAGGGATTATGGGTGATACCTGGATTTCTGACTGGAGCAAATGATACCTGGATGGTAAAGCACAAGCGGGGAAAGTGGAAATAGGTGGTAGGAATGCTTGTGGTGAAGATACAGGTACAGGAGAAGGTGAGCAGAAACCTTGAGACTGGATGAGATGAGCCAAGGGAGAAAGTGAGAGCAGGAGGCATTACAGATAGAAGCTTAAAGACTTGTAAGAAACAAGGGTGGGAATGGAGGCCTGAAGAGGAGGCTGAGAAGTCAGAGAGGGAGGAGGGAAACCAAGAGACTGTGAGCCACAGAAACCAAGGGGAGGAAATGTACCTTTAATGGTGAGAGACTGTAGATGAAAAGTAGAGTAAATACACACATGCCAG